TACTTTTAAATATCTAATAACTGACGATTATGAACGGAAGATATTCGCTATAAAGTTACAAATTGATTCGCATCCCGGCACGAAAAGTGACGCAAGTCAGAAAGCAGCATTTGAAAAAAATTAACTTAAAGAACACTATGAAACGTATTCTGAAATAGCACAATCTTGAGCACAATCTGAAATAGCACACTCTTGAGCGCTATCGGCAAAAGCAAACCTTGAACACAATCTGAAAAAGCACACTCTTGAGCACAATCTGAAAAAAGCACAATCTTGAGCGCAATCTGAAATAGAACACTCTTTACCAGAATCTGAAAAAGCATACTCTTTACCACAATCTGAAAAAGCACACTCTTTATCACAATCTGAAAAAGCACACTCTTTACCACAATCTGAAAAAGCACACTCTTTACCACAATCAAGAGATGAGACACTTTCTGAGCTTCCTGGGACACTTTATACATATTTTTTTTTTATATAACCTCAAAATTGCTATTTTTTTACTTGTGTCACTTTTCTTGTTGGGGTGCAATTTAACAACGCAAACTTGTATTTTTAAATCTTATTTTTTTAAATACAATAATATTAATAAAAAAATTACAATACAGTTACTTAAATGAGTGGCTTGTTACGTTCAGCAAAATTTCATTTTAAAATATCAAATAACTCAGTTTTTTGTTGATTATGAACTGAAGATGTACGCAATAAAATGACAAATTGACGATTATTAACGCAAAAATGTATTTTTGAATCCCATTTAAAAAAAATAATCTGATTAAAAAAAACTGTTACATCAGTAGATGACTTATTCTCCTTGAAACACGTTTAGTTTAAAATATCAAGCAACTGAGTTTTATGTTGACTATGAACTGCAGATATATGCAATAAAGTGACAAATTATTCACTAACGCAAACTTTTATAACTTTTATAGAAAAACAATGATATTATTAAAAAAACACACACGATTTTGTTACTTAGGCGAATGGCTTGTTACCTTCAGCAATTTATTTCATTTTAAAATATCAAGAAACTTAGTTTTATGTCGAATATGAACTGTTTAGGAACGCAATAAAATGACGAATTGATGCTCACTAAAGCAAACTTGTATTTTTGAATGACATTTTTTTTTAAAAAAATGCACTCATAGTATTAAAAAACATAATATTTTTACATGAACGAATGGCTTGTTACCATCTGCAACAGTTTTATGCTCTATAACGTCTGTAAATTGTCGATATAGGCAAAAAAAAGGCAAACTGACGCTTACTCACTCAAAATTGTATTTTTGAATTCCAATTTTTTTTTAGTACAAAAATATTACTTAAAAAAAACTCAATACTGTTACTGAAGTGAGTGGCTTGTTACTTTCTGCAATACTTTTAGATTGAAATATCAAGCAACTTAATTTGCGTTGAAGTACTCGAAATTGTTTCTGTAACTTAGTATTTTCTTTTATGTTGTTCATTTACGTCGTCGCACTAGAGTAGCACAATGGACTATTGGCGACAGTCTGGGAAACATCCCTGAGGATATTCCAAAGACATGCCATCACAATTTTGATCCTCTGCAGAGGGGATGGCACCTCCGCTTCGGTAACCTGAGGACCTGCAAGCGAATTCCAGTCCTTTCGGTAGAACAGTTTAACGAGGACCAATACCGCACACCCTCGGTCCCTAGGCAGACTGATTCAAGTGGTCACCCACCCGCACACTGACCGTAGCCAGAGATGCTTTACTTCGGTGATCTGCTGGGAGTGTCTTAACGATCAGTCCACTGCGGGACATTTTCTTTTATATAATTAGAACTATTAATAAATATGCGTAATACTTTGGTCAGTTACTTTTGTATAAATAGAGTTGAAATCAGACCTACCACTTGAATAGAAATATTCTGTTATCGATTTTTTAACTATGCTTTCAACAAATAAATATCATGTAACAAATAAATATATAGAACAAATAAATAAATATGTTTAACTCGATTTATCTGTTTATATTGTTAGGTAATTGTGATGTTTAGTTATATTTTATGAAATTTATGCATCCAAAAATTGAAAATGAGTGCTAAATATTTTAGTTATTTATTGTTAAGAATGCGCAATAAAATCAAATCATCTTTAATATTTGTTTAACTTTTTAAAATGTCGTACTGGAAAACAGAAGCAATCGAAAATCAATTTTCTGAAGATCTTATTTTTTTCTTCGTGATATAACACTGTCCTTTATTTTGAAAATAAGTGGAATAAAAAGGAAGTCGAAGAAAATCGACTTTCCGTGTCTAAACAAACGATATAAGAGATAAAAAAAAAGGGGTCCAAGTTAAATAATAAAAAAAAAATCTTGTAAAAACGCTCTAGATCTTGAATACTGAAACTATTTTTCAAATTCTCTTTTTCTCCCCGGAACATTCACTAGCCCATCTCAAAATCTATCTACGTGTTCTTTTGAAGATGAAAAAGAATGCCAAGATCTTCACGGGATGAGAAAAAAAGTAAAAGGGACTGTGCACCAATTACAATAAAATGAAATTTAGAATCTGCCATAATGCCTTATTTTCTGGGTAAGGTGCTGTTCATATATATTCTGTGGTTTATTCTATGTAAGAGCAACTAATATTTGGCTTCAGTTTATGTAATCGAGTTACTGTGCACCAATTACAATAAAATGACATTTCAAATCTTCCATAGTACCTTATTTTCTGGGCAAGGTGCTGTTCATATATTATGTGGTTTATTCTATGTAAGAGTAACTAATATTTGGCTTTAGTTTATGTAATCGAGTCACTGTGCACCAATTACAATAAAATGAAATTTCAAATCTTCTATAGTGCCTTATTTTCTGGGCAAGGTGCTGTTCATATATTCTATAGTTTATTCTATGTAAGGGCAACTAATATTTGGCTTTAGTTTATGTAATCGAGTTACTATGCACCAATTACAATAAAATGAAATTTCAAATCTTCTATAGTGCCTTATTTTCTGGGCAAGGTGCTGTTCATATATTCTGTCGTTTATTCTATGTAAGAGTAACTAATATTTGGCTTTAGTTTATGTAATCGAGTCACTGTGCACCAATTACAATAAAATGAAATTTCAAATCTTCTATAGTGCCTTATTTTCTGGCCAAGGTGCTGTTCATATATTCTGTGGTTTATTCTATGTAAGAGCAACTAATATTTGGCTTTAGTTTATGTAATCGAGTTACTATGCACCAATTACAATAAAATGAAATTTCAAATTTTCAATAGTGCCTTATTTTCTGGGCAAGGTGCTGTTAATATATTCTGTCGTTTATTCTGTGTAAAAGCAACTAATATTTGGCTTTAGTTTATGCAATCGAGTTACTGTGCACCAATTACAATAAAATGAAATTTCAAATCTTCTATAGTGCCTTATTTTCTGGGCAAGGTGCTGTTCATATATTCTGTGGTTTATTCTATGTAAGAGCAACTAATATTTGGCTTTAGTTTATGTAATCGAGTTACTGTGCACCAATTACAATAAAATGAAATTTCAAATCTTCTACAATGCCTTATTTCTGGGCAAGGTACAATTCATATATTCTGTCGTTTATTCTATGTAAAAGCAACTAATATTTGGCTCTAGCTTATGTAATTGACTTAAAAAGTTAAAACTTTTAACAACAGGAATGATAGCCAAAGTCGATGATAAGATAACATTTGTATTCAACTATTGATAAATTATGTATGAAAAAAATTCATTTATTTTCATAAAATTTAAAAATTTATTTGCAACTTTTTGACGTGTGTTCTTGTACTATGTACATGTACTTGTATTCAGATATGCCATTAACAATCTTAAACAATTTTAAACTCATTTCTTAACAATATTAAAAATTGAGACAATACGAAATGACATTGCTATCAATAAATAAATAACAATTACATAGTTTTTTATCGATGTATTTTTGAATATAAAATTAATTAACATAAAAGCAGATGCAAAATATGTAGTGTTCAAGTTCATTATCGGTATTAAAATATGTAGTGTTACTCAGAAAATTATTTCCTAGATTTTTCTCCAAAAAAATTAATAATTTTTTGCAAAATTATTATTAATTGAAAAAGAAAATTTCTATGTGAAAAAAATCGACATAATGGATTGATTGAGTTTATTTATGCATTATAGAAGGGAAGTTTCGGTCCTCTTGGGGAGGCAATAAGACTGTGAAAAATTCCGGTCCAAATTACGGTAAAAAGTACCGGGGGGAGGTAAAAAGTATCACTCAAGGTACAGGTACTTTTTCTCGAAAAATCCATTTTTACTGCATCATGTTACGGAACAAAAAACCTGATATACTGTTATTTTTACTGTAACAATTAACGCAAAATCACTGCATCTCTCTAATTCAATAAATATTACTGTAAGAAACACGGTTTAAGATTTTACGGTAAAGATGGATTTTACGATAAATGATGATGCACCCAAACTGCCGGTATTTTATATCGCAATTTCGATGCAGGATGTCTTACAGCCTACCTCTCTTCTGCTCTCAACGAAAAAAATAAATGAAATTTTTTTGCCATAACCAAATGGTATCAATACTAACATTTTGAAATAAAAGTGAATGACCATAGAATGCATTTAAATCCAAATTCAAAGCTTAAAAACTAAATAAGCATTTAAAATTCTTAGAATACAGACACTAAGATAACATAATAACAATTATTGAATAATCCATCTTTACATTTTTTTTTTGTTATTGTTAAAAAAAAAACTGAAATCGTTTGGTTAAAACGAGTCAAATTAATCAACAAACTAAAATTTTTTTATTTATATTGTTTGAAAGAAAAAAATATACATTTAAATAAAATACAAGTTTGGATCAAGAGGGAAATGAAAACATTATTAAAATTAAAATTCCGATCTCTTCCCCTATTCGCAAAGCCAAAAATTGAAAGTATCGCCATCTAGTGAGAAAATATTCAACATTTTTCAACTGTTCATATTTGCTTGAAATTTCTGACAGAGGAATATTTCATTGAGAAAGAGAGAGCGCGCATGAAAGAGATCGGAACAGCGAGAAGGAAAGATAGAAAGAAGAAAAGGGAGAACATAGTATTCCTTGAAAAAAAGTAGGACACATGCTGCGGCGTGAGAGCTGGCTTAAGAAAACTGTTTCAGTTGGTCGCTAGAAGTTAGTCAGTGAAAGGCGTGCGATGAAAACTCGGCGTGTATCGTTTGCTTTAACTTTGATTCGGTGGTGAAAACGGGGGTTTTTCGGTCCCCTCGTTGATTTCTCTCGAGTGGGTGTGTGATCTCTGACTCATAATGCGCTTTTATGTGAAGAACATCTGGATGCAAGTGCGGTGAGGATATCGTTTGCACAATTTAATTCAGGCAAGCGATATTTTTAATGTAATCATTCAAATTTTCTATGTTTCCCATTTTCTGATTGATGTGTTTTCTTTTCGTTGCCTTATTTTTTTTAAGCTGAATTGTTTTAATATGTTTTGAAAAAAAGTATCAAAGGAAAAATTATTTTTATGGTAGCAAAAAGAGTACTTCTACTGCCAAAGTTTTTTACGCATTATATTTGTTCTTATGATAATAGGTATAGTGCTATCACAACTTAATGCGGGCAAGCGATTTTTTTTTACTGTAATCATTAAGTTTTTAATAATCTTCTTTTTTTTATTAATATACTTACGTTTCGTTATTTGATATAAAATTGATTTGATTTATTTTGAGGAAATAAAGTATTAGTTATATCATTAGTACTTTAAATATTTATTATGTATGATATTATTACTCTCCAATTAATAGTTATATAAATCATAAATATTTTAATGTATGATACGATGTGATTTCAATATATTTAAAAAAATAAGTTGATTTTCAAATGAATAAAATATCAGTTTTTTTTCCTTTTAAACGGGAACTTCATTAAAATAGTTGTGATGTTTTTTTATTTTCCATCTTTCTAAATAATGTCCCTATTTTCACTTCAATACTTTCAATATTCATTCTGTATATTCTGCATTTTATGTTTACATTTGTTTAGGAACATCAAATTTGTAAAAATAGTCCTTTCGAGAATATAATATTAGAGTGAGGAATTTTCTAATTGAATTATTTATACGTTTTTTAAATTGATTATAATAATAAATAATTATAATAATTCTTTTAATAAATAAATAATTATAATAATATTTTTTTGAATGTTTATTTGGCATAGAAAATCAATAATATTTTATATTTTGCTTCATAAGAAAAAACTTGATATATTGTTCAGAAGCATAACAATATTATTTTATTCTTCATTAAACATATTTAGAATTTATTAATATTTTTATAGCTGTGTTAAAATACTAAACTTAAAAATAAAATAGAGAAAATGGAGATTTATGAGTCAAAATTGAAGCATAAAATCAGAACTCTATTTCAAGAAATTAGTTTGAAATCAAATAAATTACTAGAATAGTTAAAAACGTATCAAATTTTCGTTATCAAAAATAGAACAAATAGTTAGAAAAACTATTACCGTATCAAAACTGAAACCGAATAATATTTTAATAATAAAAGTTTTGTTTATATTTCAATTTTAAAAGCTAAATTATTTAAATTCCTTTTTCAGATATTGACTGTGCCTTGTTTTGAACTAATAAATTTGAAAGTGATAATACTCTTCCAAATATGCAGTGATTCAAAAGGATTCAGAAAATTGAACAGAGCTTCTCTTAGTGTTTTGTGTGTTTTGAACTTAAAGGCAGAAATTCTTCAATTGGATAACAATATAATTAAACACGAATGAGATAACACAAATAAACTATTTTGAAAATGAAGTGCCACTGTCTTCAACTAGTCTCTTTTGTTACATTTGTGACTTTAGGATACTTCTCAAATTTTGTTTCAGGACAAGGTGAGTGAATTTTTTTTTTCTTGTTTGGTGTTTTTAGTTTATTCTGTGTTGAATTATTTTGAAGACCAACATCTAAGTCCTAAGAAATTAGCAAAATAATTCAAGTCCATTTTAATGTTTTTACGGAATCAATTTAGAAAAGAAAAAAAAGATCTTAAATTCTAATTATTATCGTCTTAGATTTATCCTAAAAGAAGAAAGCTATTAAATTATTTTAAAGATCAATATTTACAAAAAAATATTCAAATGTTATTGATTTTAAACTAAAATATTTAAACTAATTATTCTAAAAATGTTTTTGTTAAAATAAATTTCGTTCTACGCTATTAATTTTTAATAACGATATTTAAAGGGATTTTATTCTAACAGTATTTTTTTAAAAACATCATTTAAAATAATTGTTTCCAAGGTTATTTATATTAGATACCAATTTTCAAAACAATTATTTTAACTCCATTCTTTTAAATATAAAATTGTTTAAAATAATTTTGCAATATTTTTTTTTGAAGATTAATATTAAAAACTCATAAATATGCATTTTCCAAGAACCAATATTTAAGGACTAGATTTTGATTAATTTAGGCTTGAGATTTGCAAAATCCAAGATTATTGAATCCAATATAATGAATATTAACTAAAAATAAATTATAAAATGTAATTTTTTAAATGTACCTGCATAAAATAAATAAACTTTATAAAATTCAGTTTTCTTAAGTTTATTCTTTTAAACAAAATCTCTGAATTTGAATCAGCAAAATCTCCGAATATTGGAACAAAATCTCAGAATATTTTAATTTTATCGACTAAACTACTTGATTGAACATCTTACAGCAGTTGAAATTTTTTTTATTTTAAATTAATTCTACTTAGCTTCTATTCGAAGCTTAATTCAATTTGTGTTTCGACAGTGAATGCGTTTTTAGATTATGAACTTATAATTTGCAAAATATTGCACTATTTTAATGAAACAAAAATTTACTTTAGGAATTCAAATTCATATTACAAGCGATTATATTCCTACGAATACATAAATAAAATTTTTAAATAGAATTTTCACTGCACAATTTAATGTATACGAGAAAGTAAAAATGAATACATTTTTTTCTAATATTAAAAATATGAAATTTTATTAAATAGTTTATAATTTTTAATATTTCATCACATGAATAATATTTTTAAGGATTTTTATAAAATTCTTAAACATGGGAATAGTTTTTTTGAAGAAATTAAATAAATTAGAGTCCTTTATAATACTTTAGAAAATTGTCAAAAGTGCCGTTTATCATTTCTTTTCAAAACAGAAATGATACATTTCCTCTTCCACCCTCTATTTGCAACCACAAAACGATGATTGATACTTAGTGGTTGTCATTTACTACCGCTGCTGCCAAAACGGCGGAACTAATTTTTTTTTTCAAATGTGTGTAGTCATTTTCTCTTGTCGCCAGCTCTTTTCATTCTTCTATTATTAATCTTTTGTTGCCGGAAGAAAATTAACATAGTTTTTATATTGATTGATAAATTATTTAATAGGATGAGTGCAAATTACAGTTTCACAATACAGTTTCATAAATACAGTTCTAATATAACAATACATTTAATAAAATCATGGAAAAGTGCCATAAAAATTGCAGTTAATTCACAAAATTAATTTTAAATTATACAAGCAAACTAAGTTAGAAAAAACAGCTTATTGTGTTTTAGACTTATAATTGATAAAAAAGGATTTTTCTTTCTATTTCAATAAATTAATATTGAAATTTATTGAAAAAAAACATTCAAATATAAATAAATAAATAATTTCACTTCGTAGTAAATATTTAAAACAGTAGTAAATTTTTCGTAATATTTTTTCATTCTTAACAAGAAAAATAATTAAGAAACACTAGAAAAAACATAAGGCTAATTAAAGTCCTTTAAATTTTCTAATTCGTTTAAAAAATATTTGATTTGTAGTAAATTGTTTAGAATAACTATATTTGAAAACAAACAACAATTTGTTTCATTTATTCAAATTTTTGAAGATGAAGAAACATTAGATAAACAGAACAAATATGAAGTTACATAATTAAAACAATCTACTTGAATTAATAATCTATTATTTTAATTGTTGCCTTTAATGTTACATTATATTTGTATAATTTTGCAATTAAGTAGAATTATTGTTACAATTTTATCGACTCCTTGTCTCAAATATTACCTATGCGGTGCTGTTACGGTATGATAATTTAATGATCAAAAACACTAATTAATTATTCAAATATTTGATAAAAAAGTAGTTATAACCATTTAAAAATGCATGAAAGAAAGAAATGGTGATTAAAATACCAATCGGATATTCATAATTATTAGCCGAAGGTTTTGAGATGCTTCGTTATAATATGTTCCTGTTTCGAGATATTTTGTAATTAAAATTTAAAACTTATCTCTTGCAATTTTATTTGAAGAATGTTTATAGTTTCAATATTATTTTAAATTTAAAAATATGTAAAATGCTTATTAGTTTTAGTTTATTAAGTATTTAAAATTAGAAAAAAATAACATTCAAAATAGTTTAAAACGCTTGACTTAAAAAATGTGTTAAGCGATTCCATGTCTTGACCAAACTAGAAATCGTAATTTTTATTTATTCATTTTGTTCTATATATAAATAAAATTATTTTTATGTATTCATATTTGGTAGTATGATATTTTAGGCATAGATGCGTATTTATGAAATAGGTTTTTGATAAATTCATTAATTTATTTCGTAAGTAATGTGAGGGACGAATTCGTGGAAAATTGACTTCCTTTCGTCTCTCTTTTTCGTTCTGAAGTCAAAAAAGAATCTTTTTTATAATACTAATTATTTGTAAAAGTCACTAATTATTTATTTCTGATATAATATTTATTTAAAAAAATAGAAATGCAAAACAAATTCCGGCAAATGTTTATAACTAGGTAAAAAAATATTTTAAAAAATTCTCACAATTTTATTAATATATAAGTTAATGGTTATTATTAATTAATTAATTCGCAGCATTTATTTAATATAATATTATCTGATGGTAAATTCGTTAAATAAATATCTAAACAAACTAAGACATAATTTTTCTTGACAAAACGAAAAACTGACATCGTGAATAACTACCTTTTTAGAGTTCATAAAAATTAAGGAAAAAAAAACGTTTTTAATTATATTTATTATTGCTAAAATTATTTAAAAATAAAAACAAAAAAATGCTTTAAAGATAATTCAGACAAGACGAACCTAATGGACCTTATGATGAATTCTTAAAATAGTCACAATAAAGGGAAACTGTAGGCAAATAATTATTATTATTATTTACTTTAAACAAATGTTAACGTTTTTTCTTCTTTAATGGCTTAAAATGTTGTTAGTTACAAAAAACAAATACACCTCAAACGTTTTAATTTTATCAGCATTTTCGAAATAATAACTTATTATATTTAAAAAAAATAGTTTCAAATTAAAAAATATTATTTTATGCTAAAATTTGATTACACCGAAGAATCGATCAATTTATGTTTATTTATATCGACTGCAGCTTATGAAATCTCGAGAATTTCAGTCCTTGATCCTTAAGTCCCTTCTCAGTCGAAGTAAGATTGTTTCAAAAACTGATAGCGCAGTTGTAATTTACGCCCCCATACAAGGGTCTTTATCATCCTTCAAGCTAAGAGTGAAGGACCCTGCAAGTATGTGATGATCCAACTGCTATAAGTTTTATCAACACTGTTGGGGTCGCAGCGAACAGTTAATTCCAAATGTCAGCTAAGACACTTTTGACTGATGGTCACATCCACCCCCTAATTCTCTCACCAAAATCCTCTCAGGGATATCTTTAGGGTATATCCTACTGCCTCCAGAATCGTTGACGATTTTCAAGCTTGCATGGATCGATGAAAATATTGGGAAATTTAGCATGAGGGATAATATAAATGAGGGAGCAATGGGGGTGGAACAAAAGGTAATTATCGATTTCTGGGATTGAATTTATTATTTTTCCTTTTTGTTTCTTCTTTAAGTGAGAGTTGCAATGGTGGGAAGAGGGAGTGTGTGAGAACCTAAAGCGATAAAAGATTGTTTATATGGGATCAAAAAAATAATTAGAGGGGAGTTCAAAGAAAAACACAGATGAGTCAATCATAGTTAAATATTGCTTTTTCTGATTAGTTTAAATACAAAAACTTTTCAAATATATCGACAGTAAATATCAGTCAATATTAGAAAATCATTTCTCGTTCAGATTATTGTATTTATAAAGAAAAAAATTTGTGTTAAATATATCGACATTTAATATGGATGAGTTAATCTTAGTAAAATATTGTTCGAACAGATTATTGTAATTATGAAAAAAAATTTGTTAATTTTAGAGACACTTAATAACGAAGATTTAATATCAACACTTTATTGCTTGTTTAGATTAGGGTAATTTTTTTAATTTTTGTGAAATCATCTAATCTTAATTTTTATTTTTGTGTTAAAAATCTTAATTTTTGTGCTAAAAGTATCAAAAAATAACATCTAGACGCCAGTAAAAGAAAACTGCTAATATTTTGTCTTAATGATATCGATATTTAATGAGTTTCAGATTATTGTGATTCTTAATGTAATAGCGTCAGAGAAATTGTAAACAAATATAGATTTTCGATTTTATTTAGTATAAACAACAAGCAATTTTTTTACGCTTGCATAATAAGTTTTATTGAACAAAAAGTAAATTAATTAAAAATATCACCATTTATTCTTTTTTAATAGAGGAGAATAATTAATTGCTCTTTTTACTATAAAAAATTGATTATGGAAATAAAAAGCAAATCAGCTATCTAATTACCTAAAGAACAGCTAATAGGACCAGGCTCACAAAAAAATAAATTTGAATAGAGCAGTTTAAGGAATCCAAAATCAAAACACCTAAAAGCATATTAATCTGTGCTTGGAGTTTTAAAAATTATTTTTTTTAATTCTTTTAAAATTTTTAATCAATTTTGTTCAA